TCTCTCTCTATATTTACTTGCTCTGACTTCTCTCTAGATTACTCCCCGCAATAACCCTTCGGATAAATACCCCCGGGTAGACTATCCATCAATATGTAATTAATAAAACTTTATCAGAGCATTAACTAAATATGTCCATTTTGTAAACAACACTTGGACACTAGGTCTTCTACCTTAGTTCTTAAAAAGCATTAATTACTTTGGGCTTGGATTCCAAAGAATGTACTCAATTTTTTTGGAAACAAAGATTAGTAATAATATTACTAAAGATTTACTCCGTATTACATATATAAATAAATGCCTTCCGAATTACGTTTTCTAAGAAATCAGTAGGGGTAATAAATAAAGCACTTCGCTTCCGATTGTTTGCTAATCTCTTTATGCCCGAATTTGGAAATCTAATGGTGCTTCGTAGGCAAGCAAAAATCTTACAAACAAAATTGTCTATATAATTTATCTCATAGAAAAAGAAAAGTGAAGTTATATAAGTGAGTAAAGAAAGAACTTCCATCTTCTGGTTCTTTTGAAAAAGAATGGATGTAACACAGACTACTAAATGGGTTATCTATGAACATGGGAACCCTACAACCAAGAATTATGTTCAAATCCTACTATTCATGAGTTTAGCCCGACCCAGCTCCACGAGAATGGTTGTCGGCGCTTTCTACATATCCAAACACAACCCTTCCATGTCCCTCAGCCAAGACTCTCATTTCATCCTTCCTAGGGCCCACACCATCGGAGTCGCAGACGACGTCGGCGACTAGTCCAAGAGAGGCGTCGATGCCAGGATCTATTATTTTGCTAATGTAATAAATGTGACATACATGCGAATTGACATTTTGTAGATAACAGATTAGTTAGAAGGTAGTTGAGCTGATCAATTTATTGTTAGCGAATTGGCATGTAAGACGTATGCATGTAACTGGAAGTGTAGTTTTGATGTTCCATTGATTTCTTCTTCCGTAAATCTTCTCTCAATTTCTTTTTCAAATTCTTTTCATTGCTAAGAATTCTTACACTACGTACATTCTTCAAAATTTTCTTTCTTGATCGTTACAATTGGTATCCGAGCAATGGAAACAACCAAATCTTTGTTGACGTCCATTCAATTCTTCAATGCTCAAAATTCAGAATCCTGGCGAAGAAGATTACAGTAGCGACACTCTCTGCAATGGTGGAAGATAATGTTCTTGGTCCGGAACGACAATTGGAAGAACAAGTCACGCCGAATGAACATAAATTTTCTGAAATAAATCTGAAATTAGATGCTCTGTTAATGCTTCTCCAAAAGAGAAACGAAGAGGAAGATCATCAATCGAGGCTCCATAACTCATTTGTGATGCGAACTATACACAGGAACACACATTCGCATTCAGACAACAGTACTAAAGACTTTGGATTTCTGTCCCAAATTGAGTTTTGTATCTTCTTTGCTAATAGCCCTAGAGTTTGGATACAAAAGTGTGCTAAATACTTCGAGTTATGTGTGATTGGCACTGCTCAAAAGGTTGATCTACCAACTATTACAGGTTGAGATAAGCGTCACTTTATCTTACTGGTAGAGCTCAGTCTTGGTATACCAGCTACATTTTTGTTCATGGAAGGGTATCTCGGGAACAGTTTTTGATAGGCGTGTATGCTAGATTTAATGAAGAACTAGGTAGTTTACATGCCAAAATCTGTAGTGTGAAATGGTGTAAAAATGTGAATGGAAATGATGTTTTTTTGGCTTGTAATGATATAGTATAGAGTAAATGAGTATCGTTCCGCTAGAGAATGGCTCACGAAGAGAACTAGAATTAATGATTGATTTTTAGCTAAATCATAACTTAATGACATTTTGCAATGGGGCTAAGTGAACAGATTTTTTTATCTTGTTTTTGTCAATGCGAAATTGCTAAATAGTAAAATAAATCACAATATTTGGTAATTTAACAATTAATGATATGGAGAAAATTAGGCTTGAGCTAAGAGTAATTTTATTTTGATGTTCATAATAATTAAGATTTAACTAATTAACTTAGTTACTTTTAGGTGTGTGAAAGATTTACAAATGGTAATCTTCTAATCGTTCCCACGACTTAGTTGATTACACTATCTTAAATTAATTACGCTCCCGCGGTAATTTTATTAAGACAGTAAAAAGTACAAAATCAAATCATCCTAAATTCCTTAACACTTCCGTGTAGCAATTTAGTGGGTGAATTAACAAAAGAGATTTTAATGAAATTTCACTCCCATGATAATATTCATTTCCCAATATAATGTATTTAGCATATTAGAATATTCAACCCAACACTCCTAAAACTAACCAAGTAATAGTTTTAACCAATTATTATCTTATGAACATTAACAACAAAAATTACATCTTGTCCAAACCTAAACTAATTTAGTTACACATAATTACAGTAAACGAAATAAAAGTAAAACTAATGATAGGCATGATTAATTTAACAAATTAAAGAAAATAAAATGAGTATTTGAATATGAACCTGAAGGCATGTTCTAAAAGGCTCCCTAAGGCGTCGCCTAGGCGTGCGTACGCGTGAAGCGTCCCACAAAAGCCTCACATATGCATTAGGCGTTTCAAAAGGCATCAAATCACTGTTCACTCCCTTTGACGTGAAAAAAACACCCGCCTTTTATTTGACAAAGCACAGGGAGTGAGTATTTGTTTCTTTCTTGCGTTATCAAATGCTTTCTACGGAGATTATGAAGTCCCAACTCCCAACCCTAGGAGTAAAATAGTAGAGCATCAACCAATTCCAAGAAGTATTCCTAGAAGTTAGAAGTAATTATCTTCCCCCCCATGATGAGCGCCACTTCTAGGCATTGGACGAGGTAGTAACCAAACTGGACAACATGAAGAAGCTTGTATTCCTTAACCGCCAGGAAGAAATCGTCAAGCAAAAGCGTCGGGCAGAGCTTATTCTCCAACAAGCCAACCGACCTTTCAGCGATGGAGCCCCCTTCTAGCTATGGCTCTTGCAAGTCTGCAACTCTTGAATTAAATCTAGCTTTCTAGTTCGTTTTTTCATCTGCGAGGAAGATTGGAGGCTACCACGTTTGACCATCAAAGGTACTCACTCATATGATGTCTACTTTGTATTTCATTTTTTAAAATACAAAATTAATCCATTCTTTTATTTTTTATATGCTTATTATGTATTTGTGCTTCTATGCTACTGCCTATTCTAACCATTCAAGACTAGGAATCTAATAGGATTTGTACCACTGAAATGGAACAAAATACGTCTTCTGATCTGCTGATGGGAATGGGTTAATTTCTGGGTCTGATCCTCCAGATGTTGGGTGGGGGCTGCAGTTCCTAATAAACCTAATAATTTGAATGAGGTGAGATGCAATACCATGTGGAAAAATCATGAATGCTGGAATAAATAGACACAAGTTCCACATAGCAGGGATCAAGGGAAAGGGTGTGAAACCGTGTCCTAATGCAAGTGAGGTGCAAAAAAGAAAATGTCGTTAGGCGCTAGAACAGAACAAGTCCCAAAAACTAGAAAAGCTATTAAGTCATGCTAGATTGAGGGAGGATGTTATTCTGTCTTCACAACTAAATGAAGAAGGTGACCAGCACACTCGTGAAAAGGGATGTTATTCTGTCTTCACAACTAAATGAAGAAGGTGACCAGCACACTCGTGAAAAGGACAGTAGGAAAAGGTCTTTTGCAACTATTGGTCCCATGGATGAATTTTCAAGGCCGATCAACGTAACTGATGAACCAATGAGGGTTAGTAAAAAATGAAACAACAAAATATGCATGATGCGAAAAATCTTGTTTACGTGCAATTCAATGCACGGTTGGCGAATAGGAAATAAAAGAAAGGACAAGCTAGAGGCTTTTGATACAAGCAATGCACAAAGATGGATAGTTGAAGGCTCTAATGATAATGATGATGATATAAATGAAATGCCTTCAACTATAATAGATGTGACAAGTTTTGAAACTGAAATAAGGGAACCTGATGAAGAGGAATTTGAATCTGATGAAGAGGAATTGGTCTTTGACGGAGAAGACTATGACTAGTTGACCCTATCACTTTTGTTGAATTGTGATATAGCTATTTTTTTGGTAAACATAAGATACAGACTGTGTTATTAACTGTAATTTACTTTATAATATTAGGTCAGTAGTACTACAAAAGTGACCAGAGAGGTTTTTGGACTGGGTTACTTTGCTTGGCTGCTTTTTTGGATGTGGCATACTTTCGTGCAGGTTTTTGGATATATATTGTTGCAAGTTTGAAGTACTTGGATCATGATGAAGCTTTGGGAGTTTTGATTCATTCTCCATATTTTATTCCCTTAGTTGCTTGTAAATAGTCAGGCAATGTTTTTGTAACTTTTGAGCTGCAAAAACATTGTAAGTTGTTGCAATATTTTTGTAACTTTTGATCCGCAAAAATATTATAAGTTGCAATATTACATATCGTTAATGATCAAATGCATTAACTTCTAAATGCTTAATCATTTCACTCGTAGGGGCTGCAAGATTGGAGAACTTGGTGACCAACAAGCTTTAAATAGAGGTAAGAAAGACTTGGGGAGGGCAATTCAATTAGGTAAATTTGCTCTTAATAGTTACTCCCTCAAGTAACCCTGGATGTTTGAGTTAGTAATATAGTATTGTCGTTTGCTTAAAAAAAGTAAACAATGTATTATGGTGCTAAAGAAGTTAAGTAGTGATGTTTTTAGCTTCTTGCATGTACATTGGCAGATGAAATCGTGATAATTGTTCAAAATTGATATGTATAATCACTTGTGCAAAATTATTTGCATTATTATATTTACATGTTAATTAGTAATTTTAGAAATATTAAATTAATGAAGCATAAAATTAAAACGCCTTTTCACGCCTACACCTTACTTAAAGCGCTCAGGCTTCAAAGGCTTAAGGCTCAATAATCCCGCCTTTCCACGACTCACGCCTTTTAGAACATTGCCTGAAGGCATAAATAATGAAGAACATAGATGAGCTAGAACAGAAAATTGAAATCCTTGTATTAAGCTGGAACTGATCGAACGAACTGATAATCCCAAATGAACTTCAATACCAAATATCACAAGCTAAAATTCTAGAATAGAAATTGCAATCTGGTTTTTACAGAAAGTGTTCTTAACAGAATCACTTTTATGTCACTCGCAGTCTTCGCAGTTTTGCGAGATCCGTTGTCCAACATGTTGGATCTAAAAATCTCTACCGATCTGTTTCCGGTTCTGTTAGGCTCCGAATTAAAATTAATTACAAAAATACCAGACTATACCAACCACACAGTACAACCGGTGGTATAATACCAGACTATACCAACCACACAGTACAACCGGTGGTACGGTATAATTTCCGGGGACAACATCTTGCTTTGGCCGCTGCACATTTTTCTCCTTTAAACCTCCCCCTCACATAGTCACATTTTCCATTTTCCCTGCTAAATCCTACAATCACAAAACTCATTTATAACATTTTTGTCTCTTATTTTATTCCCCCACTACAACTCTACAAGTGATCTAAAAATATATACATATTGATAACTAACTATATATATTATGCATATACCCATACTAATATACAAACATACATATATATATATATAGTATTTTTATTTATTTAATTAAGTTACAAAACTATCTTTATAATTTTTTTTATTAAACTAATTGATGTTATTAATTAAATTACTTAAAAGTTTAAACGTCTTTCAAGTTGCCACTTATGGGCTTCACCTAGACTCGTTCATCCGGCTTGAAGTTTGGCAGGCTGCCTCTTTTGCATGGCTTGTGTCGTTTTGAACCAGGGCCATGCCCATTTCATTTCTATTCTTTCTTGTTTATGTACTGGGGGGAGGATTCCATTATGGGCCAAAGGCCCTGAAAAGAAAACTACAAAACCATTCTTCTAGGCCTGGATCAAGAAAACATGTCCATGGAAATCTATCAAAACTGTCACAAACTCACAATCAATCTCGGTCTCAAACTCTCAATACAGCTAGCATCAGGAGGGTCTTTTCTTCTTTCCGGAATCCCTTTTACCTTTTGACCATCTCTTAAAAACTGCTAGAATCTCCACACTGCAATCGAGCAAGATTAACTTCTCTATGTCACATAGTCAATCTTGATATAAACTAGTCCCATGAATTTAGAATATTAACAAAAATTCAGTAACAAGTATAATGTGAATGAAGCAGCAATCATCGATATGAGCAATGCAAAACCATCTACTAAACTAACTACTAATTCACTTCAGAAGGCAAAAAAGGAACAAAACCTTTGTGTGCCAGGAAAGAAATTGAAGCCATGGGCCTTGTCTAAACTCCATGCCTTGGAAGATACAAGTGAATTGCAATCCTGTGGGATCGAAGAAAAAATCTCTTCTTTAAGGGAATTCTTAGGCTGTGTTTGTGTGTTGGGTTTTGGACTATATAGCTTTGGAGGGCTTAGTCTACATTGGTTATATATGTTAGATTTTATAAAATCGAAAGATTAAAGTGATATACAATCGTATAACATTTCCATTGGCTTTTGTTCATTTTTTAAAAAAATCTGTTGATCAAGATACAAAGTTACAAACTAGGGGGCCAAGGGCACGTCCTCTTTTTAAAAAATACTTGTCTGATTTGTATTTTCAAAATCTGGTCTAATCTTAATTCTCCTGGCTTAATCTTAGCAAAATGTTATTGATCTTGTTGATTTTTCTTTTATTTTATAAATCTTTATGTTCTAGTTTGAATCTTTCTGAACTGGTCTCCAAAGCAAAAAAGGTGATTATAGCACCACCTAAGCCCTTTAAAGCCTTCCACTCAAAAACCCTCCATCCAAACAGACTCTCAGAGTCTCAGGTGTAGGGTTTACCTCTTTAAAACTTTCCCATCCACAGCTTATATATATAAGAGTTTGAGGAGAAGTTTGGGTTTCCCGTGACTGAGTTCTTCCTCCAATAAAAACTGAAGCTTCTCTTGCGCGCAGAACCCAGGGTCTTTTTTCATCTTTTGTCATTTCATTACTGGCATGAAAAACACCACTTTAATAGTAACACTTTAAAATGCCAATATATAAACTGCATAATACATATAAAAAATATTGAATTTTATTTATTTTCCTTCAGTTTGCTTTACCTTTCTGAGAGCTTGCTTTTAGGTGTCCCTGATGGCACAGCTTGCAATGCTTTAATCAGAGAGGGATTCAGTCCTTTCCGTGGAGGGTCAACCACAACTACTTCAGCTCCAACAAGCCAAGAATGAGGTTCCTGACATAAAGTAGACTATGGTTAAAAAATGTTACCATTTTTTGTTTGCTCCAGGTAAAAGGAAGAGTTCCAAAAACAGCTAGAGTTAGGAATACTCATGCATTATATAGACCTCAATTGCAAGTTCACTCATATGTATCCAAGAGGCTATGACATTCAGATAAACCAAAAAAATCCTTTGGGAAATCAGAAAAGACATTTATGCTCCGTTTCGATTGAGGTCACTAGGTCATGGTAAACATAAAAAATAAAGAATCTAGGTAAGAAGAAAGTAGATCCGCAGGAGTTGGATAATATTAGCTCTAACTAGGTGAATTTTGTTTCAACCTTCTCTACGTTGGGGGTAAAACTGTAAAAGTAAGTTCACAGGAGCGAATATCTTATGTTTGAGTTAATTATTACTATTTACTTCATACCTTTTACCATGATTAGACTCCGATTTTAAGGTAATGGAGAATTGAGTGAGTCAAAGGTGCATGAATCACCTTAACTTAGGTTGATAATATCCAAGAAGTCTCCGAATGGGAAGAACTAAATTGTTTATCAACAATCACCTAGGCTCACCACAATCAAAACAGAGCATTAAATACCTCCACAATCATGAATTCCACTCATACATCTCCCTGCATATGAAGGAATCCATTTGAAAAGGTATATGCATGAGTGTACATCAGAATACACAAAGTAGTTCTCTCTCTCTCACACACAGACTCAAAGAATGTGAAAATTTATATATTCTCGTGATAGAAAACTTTTTGAGGCATGTGTGCACATCAAGATGAAACTGACTATTGAAGTGTCAGCATGGTGCCAGCTAATGCTGCTATCAAGATTGGTTGGCAAGCGCTCAGCTGTCTTCGTAAAAGCCTGTCTTGATTGTTGGTTGACTTCTACGCATTTAACTGAACTGTAAATAACCAGAAGTATAGAATCAGCAGTTAACTATAGTAAGACCTCAAAAGTTCAAAAATAAGAGACGATAAGCAAGAAGCCAAGAATGAGGCAATTTTCACCTGCATTTCCTTGTGGACGCTAAAGACAATCCAATAACACCAGATCCTGCATAAAGATCAATGACTGATGCACCATATGGGACATATTTCTGTAACTTGCGTAGCAAAGAATCAAATGCCTGACAGGAAAGAAAAGTTCAAAAGAATAGTTATTATACACCTAAATACCTAATTGTAAGTCAAAGACTTTGATGTTTTTTCTCTCAAAAGAACAACGATCTCTATAATCTACACTAAACGAAGTGCTTGATAAGTTATCCTATGTGAAAGGAAAAAGTCTTGCATTTGACACATTCACTGACAAAAAAGACACAATGTTCGCACATGTTAGTTTACATTAGGCGAGTCTACAATTTTCTATTTTATATACTGTTGATAAAACGAAGAGACATCATTAATCTAGGATTTATTTTCCTTATTATTACTGTAATTATGTATCTTTAGTGCTTCAGGTTGTATTTAATAGCTGCTGTCTTTTCAGTTCTCAATCATTTATGTTTAGTATTTAGACAGTCACCTAGGGTGCTGAATAGACTCTCTCAGGATTCCTATCTGTATAAATAGCTTATGTACTTCTTGTAAATGTATTCAAGGAAATAATATTCAGAAAACTTCATGGTATCAGAGCTTGGTTTCGTCTAAGCCTTTTTTGAGTCAGTCTATCACCTCTCCAACGGCCATTTTTTGGGTGTCTCTACCCTTCTCTCTCTTTAACTCCCGGTGGAGTCTCTTCATCAAGGGTTTTATCATGTCTAAAGAAGCCGAATCAGCCTCAAGTAACCTTGATCACTCAACCATTGTTTCAGCTGCTACTGCAGCCGCGTTTGCTCTTCGAAACCAGAAATTTGATCTCCCTTCTATCCCGCCATCTTACCGTCTCAATGGCAGGAACTATCTTGGGTGGTCAAAGCTGGTTTACACTCTTCTACGTGGCAAAGATCTTGAAGATTATCTCACTGTCTCTACCCCAGAAGAAGGAGAGATTGATGCTGCTATTTGGGAGAAAACTAATGCCAACGTACGGGTCTGGTTATGGGACTCTATGGATCCCAACATTAGCAGTACATGTTTATACATGGACTCGGCTAAAGAAATCTGGGATTTCATACAACAGTCCTACTCTGTTGCTAAAGATGGCGCTTTTGTCTATGACTTATGGCTCAAAACAACGAATCTTAAGCAAGATTCACAATCTGTCACAGATTATGCAACTGACCTCCAACGACGATGGTCTGAACTTGACCAGTATCAAACGATGAAGTGGTCGAATGCTGCAGATGCAGCTCTTCACAAGAACTATATAAATCAGCAACGTCTATATTGCTTCTTGTCTGGTTTAAATCCCGAATATGATCAGACTCGGGGTCAAATTCTTGGCATTACTCCTCTGCCTTCCATATCTTCTGCCATTGCCACTATCAAACATGAAGAGAGCAGACGCAATATAATGATGAATACAAATCTGATTGACAGTACAGCTCTTGCTGCCAAATCTACTCCTTCAGATGTTAAGGAAACTAAGGGTAGTAAGGGAGGAAGATGGTGTGATCATTGCAAGCGGTCCAACCATAATGTGGATACATGCTGGAAACTTTATCCTCATCTACAGAAAGAAAGGAAAAGCCAAGACAGACGTGGAATGAGTGCTGGACGTGCCAACTCAGTCACTCCCACTATTGTTGAGAGCTCTACTAATCTTTGGCCCATTTCCCAGGAGGAATTAAAGCAAATTCGTATGATGTTACAGTCTCTTAATAACTCAAATGGTTCTGGTCATAGCTCTTTGGCCCTGCAAGGTAAAACCTCTACTATTTTTTGTCTTAATGCTTCGGAACAGAGTTCACAATCCCAATGGATATTAGACTCAGGTGCCACATCTCATATGACTGCCATACCCTCTTTACTCTCTAATTATCATCCATGTTTTACATCCACGCACATTACTACTGCTGATGGGACACCTACAAAGGTTGCGGGACTTGGTACGGTTGTTTTTTCTGAAAAATTAAATCTGAAAAACACCCTACATGTCCCAAACCTGGCTATGAACCTTGCTTCTATTTACAAACTCACAGTTGATCTTAATTGTGCTGCCATTTTTTTCCCTTCCCACTGTTTATTACAGGATCTACACACGGGGAGGACGATTGGAATTGCTAAACAAAGAGATGGCCTGTACTACCTTGATGCACTGTTTGTCTCCAAACCTCCACAAAAAGCTCTTACCACAATCACAGCCAATACCAACACTATTTGGCTTCACCACAAGCGTCTTGGTCATCCCTCTTTTCATGTCCTAAAAACCATGTTTCCCAGTCTTTTTAGTAGTATTGATGTTTCTACATTTCAATGTGATGGCTGTGAACTTGCTAAACAGTCTCGTGTATCTTTTTCCAGAAGTAATACAATCAGTTGTTCTCCTTTTGATATTATACATAGTGATGTCTGGGGTCCTGCTCCAATTGCTAATATATCTGGTGCCCGGTGGTATGTTACATTTATTGATGATTGTACACGTTTTATGTGGGTTTTTCTGCTAAAAAACAAGAGTGAGGTGAGTTCCATCATTCCTATCTTTTGCAATATGATTCATAATCAGTTCTCCGCCACAATAAAACGCTTCCGCACTGATAATGCTCTTGAATACTTCAATCAAACCGTTTCCTCTTATTTCCTCTCAAAAGGCATTGTTCATGAGTCCTCTTGTCCGTACACACCACAACAGAATGGCACAGCAGAAAGAAAAAATCGCCATCTCCTAGACGTCAGTCGGGCTTTATTGTTTCAATCAAATATGCCTAAACACTATTGGGGGGAAGCCACACTCACAGCATGTCATCTCATCAATAAAATTCCCAGTCGGGTACTCCAAAATAAGTCACCCCTTGAATCTCTCCGTCATTTCTTTCCTCAAACCAGAATTTCTTCTGATCTTGATCTAAGGGTGTTTGGGTGTACTGCATTTGTTCATATTCCTCCACCGCATAGGGGAAAATTGGACCCACGATCTATTAAGTGTATCTTTCTTGGTTATTCTCCAACTCAGAAAGGATATAAGTGCTATAATCCTACAACCAGAAAGACATACACCAGTGCAGATGTGACCTTTCACGAAGACACACCTTTTTACACTCCTACTTCTCTCCCTGTATCCCAAGATACTCCACATCCTTCACCTCTGCCCACCTATACTATTACATCTTCTCCACCACATACAATCTCCTACCCTCCTAAGCCTTTATCACCAGACATCCCATCACCACCACCACCACATGATCATCCATCACCTTCCTTAGATGTGTCAGCAACCTCACCTACTTCCCAACAGTCTTCAACATCACCTGAACCTCAATCAAATACACCACCAGATCATCCCATTCCTACACCTACTAAATCCACCACTCATGACCCATCTTCTCCTCTACCAGTGACAAAAGTGTACTCAAGGAAAAACAGGTTCACTCCATTGTTGACGCATGACCAATTGGCTGACCCAGGTAATGTCTCTTCTTCTCCACCACCATCTCCGCCAATTGCTTTACGCAAGGGTGTACGTCAATGTACCAAAACACCTCTATACCCTCTTGCTAATTTTGTTACCATTGATAACTTCTCTCCTTCACATGCCTTGTTTGTTCAGAGACTTAATGAAATTCCCATACCCAACTCTGTTTCTGAGGCATTAGGAAAGAAAGAATGGAGGGATGCTATGCAAGAGGAAATTAGAGCTCTTGAAAAGAACCATACTTGGGATATTGTGACTAAACCTCCTGGGAGGCATGTTGTTGGTTGCAGGTGGATCTTTACTGTCAAATACAAGGCTGATGGATCTCTTGAGCGGTACAAAGCTCGTCTTGTGGCTAAAGGATACACTCAGACGTATGGGATTGACTATCAAGAGACCTTTGCTCCTGTAGCTAAGCTCAATACTGTCCGTATCCTACTATCCTTGGCATCTCACTTTGATTGGCCTTTATTGCAATTTGATGTCAAGAATGCTTTTCTCCACGGTGACTTGCATGATGAGATCTACATGTACATTCCCCCAGGCTTTAATAAAACATCAACAAGAACCTCTACACATGTATGTCATTTAAAAAAAGCCCTCTATGGTCTCAAGCAATCCCCTCGTGCTTGGTTTGACCGCTTCACACAGGTTGTTCTTGTTGCTGGGTATAGTCAAAGCCAAGGGGATCATACTCTTTTTTACAAACACTCTCGCCCAAATGGAGTCACTATTCTTTTGGTATATGTGGATGACATCATGGTGACGGGTAATGATCCAGTTGAGAAACAACGTCTTGAGGGGCAGCTGAAATCCAAATTCGAGATGAAGTCTCTTGGCCCTCTAAAATACTTTCTTGGAATTGAAGTTGCTCGCTCATCTGAAGGCATCTTTATCAGCCAACAAAAGTACATTACAGATTTGTTAAATGAGACCGGTAAGAGTGCTTGTCGACCGGTTAATGCACCTATGGATCCTAATCACAAGCTTGGACTTGCTACTGATGAACCCAAGGTTGATTCATCAATGTATCAGCGCTTGTGTGGCAAACTTATCTATCTCTCTCATACTAGACCTGACATTGCCTATGCAGTTAGTGTTTTGAGTCAGTTCATGCATGATCCAAGGAAACCACATCTAGAAGCAGCCTATAGGGTTCTTCACTACCTAAAAGGAAGTCCAGGGCAAGGGATAATATTCAGGAAGGGTGGGCAATTATCAGTCCAAGCCTTCACTGATGCAGATTATGGTGGCTCCCTCGTTGACCGCCGGTCAACTACTGGTCTCTGTGTTTTCCTAGCAGGAAACCTCGTGACATGGAGAAGCAAAAAACAGAATGTTGTGGCACGATCATCTGCTGAATCTGAGCTAAGAGCTCTTGCCCATGGCTTATGTGAACTTCTATGGATCAGAATTATTCTCTTAGATTTACGAATCAAGTGGAAAGGACCAATGGAATTGAGGTGTGATAACAAATCAGCAATCAACATAGCTCATAATCCAGTCCAACATCATCGGACCAAGCATATTGAGATTGATAGGCACTTTATCAAAGAAAAGGTTGAAGGAGATCTGATCGAACTAAGCTACACTCCCTCAGAAGATCAAGTTGCAGATGTGTTTACCAAACCTCTGCACAGTCCTAGGTTCCAGGGTCTTATTGTCAAGCTAGGCATGACGGATATCTACAAACCTAGCTTGAGGGGGAGTGTTGATAAAACGAAGAGACATCATTAATCTAGGATTTATTTTCCTTATTATTACTGTAATTATGTATCTTTAGTGCTTCAGGTTGTATTTAATAGCTGCTGTCTTTTCAGTTCTCAATCATTTATGTTTAGTATTTAGACAGTCACCTAGGGTGCTGAATAGACTCTCTCAGGATTCCTATCTGTATAAATAGCTTATGTACTTCTTGTAAATGTATTCAAGGAAATAATATTCAGAAAACTTCATATACATAAAAGAATCATACTTTTACACGCATGTACCAAAAGTGAAAATAAAAAATCTCTACCCGTGTATTTGCTTGTCCAAAGCTAGATGGAGCCAAAGACACATCAATTCCACCAACATGTTCCCAGAAATCTCTTTCCCCTAATAGATACCTCCATCTATCTCCAAAAATTATCTGCATGACAAACAATAAATTTTCAATAGAACAAAAGATGTAGAAGGAGATCAAGAGGAAAATAAGCTAAAATCCTAATGAAGTAGAACTTTACTGAGTTACTCACATTATTTGATGATGTCTGAAAATTTGCCCAGACAGAATGTATTAAATGGTCTTCACTCCGTGGTCCACCTGTTCTCCACAAGAACTACCATTGCAAATAAAGTATTTTATAAATTCACGCACACAGGCATAGAAGCAAATGTATTTGATGCCAAGGTGGCTTCACCATAATCAACTTACATTGGCCAACGCCTTAAGTTTTTCATAAGTATGTGAGTTTTCATTTCTTGAATTCCAAACTAGAGAAACCTGAACTTTACCTGAAAAATGATGCAATAGGCTTCTCATCTCCAATCAAACCTCAAAGACCTAATCTCACTCGATGTAAGATATAAAAACCAGGTTCTAACAATCTAACCCTTATTATATCTTTCTGAGGTTGGAAGAGAGGTGTCATGGGTTGTAACAGCCATCTAGAAAGACCATTCCCAGCCAAGTATGTAAGTATAACAACCATAAACATCCATTGCAAGCTATCACTAACACACGTTATTTATATCCCCATTGTGTTAGTACATAGCTGACCTGAACATATCTCAGATCCCCGGTCCCTAAATCTTCGTCATATGGTTCAACATTCAACTCAATTATAGCTGGTCAATCCCAAGAGGAAAAATGCATTTGTATGTATATTAATAAAGAATGAAAGAGCACGCCGAAAGTAAACACTTACATAAAAGATGGACCATAATTAAGATGTAGAAGAACACACCTCGTTTCAGAAGTTTCACAACGGCATTAATATTAGGATGGTGAGCTGCAAAAATAGGATCAAACAAGATCAATTCTGAACAGCATGAATATGCATTTACATGTGTGTATGCAAAATATTTGTGTCTTCAGGAAATTGGCCTCATAGAAGCTTCTACCCTCACTTAACATCTATAGATATTCAGTAACACAAAGGCACAATGAGGGAAAATAACTTATTTATTGTAAGTGATACAAAAGGGATTTTACAAATTATGAGTAACTAACTCCAGTCTTTAAATTTAGAAATACCACACTCTACCTAGACTCACTTTCACTCCTGAGAAGCCTCATTGGATTATACCAAATGAAAGGCTCAACCCCTAGTCATACTAATAATCGAGCTAGAACTAACATTTTCTACAAGTTCCTGAACAACTCTACATTCACTAGAATCTTTTCGAGAAATTTCTATGACGTTTTACAATAATGACAATGCATACAGCATACCTTGACAATCAGGGATATCAACAACAGTGTGAGTTCCCTCCTGATATAGCCCAATTAAAGGTTGCACTGATGAACCGCGAACTGCAAGCTTAGCACGGCACCTCCACCCCCACTGTAAGCACAAATGCATTTTAATCTAAATACTAATGCACTGAAGGATGAGAAACTAAAACATAGAAGCTGGAATCATGTACCAATCTACCACTATCAAAGGTGAATTTAACGCCAAGCTTCTTGAAGAAGTTCACAGCTTCATCAATCAGTAATGGACGGTGAAGATTAAACTCTTGAGTACAACCTGAACACCTGTAAAGCAATACCTTGGTCATATACGGAGTATATGAAAAATGAATCTTTTTCTAAACCTATGAACACATTCAAGCTCAAAAGCGTACATCTGAAAGTGAGGGCAATGGAGGGCGCAGGATGAGGATGGTAGAGTGGCGGGATTAGAGGATTGATCATGAGAGAGAGGCGGAAGCAGCGGCGCCGGTGGCCTAGGGATGTGCACAGCGGAGGGAGCCGAGACAGCCGTAGTAGCCTGGCAGCTTCTACGCGTGATGGAAGGAGCTGAAATGGAAAGAGAACTTAGAGTAAAAGCCATTAATTAGCATATACTGGAGTCTGGAGTTCAGTGCTTCACTGCTTCCTTCCTGAAATCCATGCGGGAGCTGGGGGAAATGGGAATGGATAATTAAAATAAAAAATTCTATTTGTACAAAAGATTTATATATTTATACACATCTTTTAGTTGATTGTGTATACATAGCTTCTTTAAAATAAGTTTCCTAAGAAATCTGAAATTCTTTATATACGGTGGCGGAACTAGAAAATAATTAAAGCGGGGTACAATCACCGGCGGACGATGGAGGACGGAAGGCGGGACAAGACTAGGTTATGGAAGCACGATGCCAGCGAGCTGGCGGCTGACGGTTCGGTGTGGCAGCGTGGCTCACTGCTGCTTCGGTGGTTGTTGCTTGCGCCAGGGGCTGACCTTTTCATCTCCCTAACAGCGTAACTCTGTATGACCTAAACTGGGCGATGGTTGTTGGCTAAGCTAATTGGCTTGGCCTTGTTTTGGGGCCTTAGGTTGCAGCCCGCAAATTACTAGGCAATTGAGCCTTCCTTCGCCAGTTGACCCATCGGTCCTTATTCTTTTTTTTCTTTAGCCTTGTCCAAGTGTCCAACGACGTCGTAGCATTTAGAACAACAAAAAAAAAAGTCTCCAGCAAACCATCGTTCTTCCATGTGCACCGGCAAACGTCAAACAACTCTCCAGCTCGCCGGAAAACTTCTACAGACTAGTCCGGCTGCCCCCACAACCCATACCTATCCCTAGCTCGATGGCCGAAGCAGGGGGCACCGACCCCCTGACAGATCCGTCACTGTATAAACAGATGAATGTATAAAAAGTGTGTGTGTTTTGAACAACAAGAATTACTCCGATAAATTGGATGAGGATTAAATTTAGATTATCCAAACAAAAATTATAGAATGTGATGGAAATATATACTTTTCCTATTTATTGTTTGTTACATTTCTCTTTTGGAATTTTAAAAAGTATTTTAATTTTTGTTATATCTTCCATTTTGGATAAATTCTTTCCTTAAAAGTTTCTAACGATCCTTACTTTTAGACCTTTTTACTACTTTTTCACATTTTCTTCATACTTTTCTACCATTTTTCTATTTTCTATACACTTCTCATTATTTCACTATTTTCTCTTAAATATTATGGAGCATGTCATAGTGTCATACACTCATACCCTATTAAGAATAAGAGTTTTGATTATATATGAGAAAACATACATGCCTCAACTATCGAGCTATAGCATACGTGTAAATATGTTGATCTCCTCTAACATATTATTTTAGAAACATTTGTCATAAATTTATACTCCCCAACTTTTTGTGTTATCACTCTAAATGAAAATTGAGAATTACATGTATTCTTGTAACATACAACTCCAAGATATATTTGTTCCTTTTTTCTTATATTTTTTAAGAAGTGTGTCAACTTGAAAAAACCAACTTAGTTTCAGACAATTGTTTCCTAACAAGAAATATGTGATTATTTTACTCAAAGTACAATATTTGAATTGTGGTTGTTACATAAAAACTCATCACCTAAATATAACTCAACACCTAAGTACGATTCAAATGATATCATGTGACCTCAAATAGGGGTTGTGCATTACCAAAAGCATTTTGGACTTCACCACATTGGCATTTATTACTATGCACATGGTTGAGCCGTTGAGGGGTTGAAAGAAAACAAATCAGTGTGGGAGTTTCATCCAATATGGTGGCTCTTTGTGCGTAGTGGTGGACTCGGGCCGGGCCAACCGGCCCGGAATCGGACCGGCCCGCTACTGTGCGGGCCCGGACCGGCCCGGTTTGTCGGTTAGGTCACGGTTCGGGCCACCCGGCCCGGTCATGTAGCGGTTCGGGCCCGGGCTTATAATTTGGTGAACCGGCCCGGCCGGGCCGGGCCCGGTCCGGGCCTCAACGGTCACAAAAAAAAAAAAAAAATTTGAAGGCTCTACTAGCCGTTGGGAGACCTCCCAAACGGCTCTATAGCCGTTGGGAGCATAGGAGGGGGGGTCTGGGGGGTTAGGGGGTGGGGTGGGGGTGGGGGTGGGGTATACAAAAAAAAACCTATTTATACTCCTATTTTCTATACATTTTTTACACCTCTTCTTCTACAACTCTTCCTACTCTCTAAAATCTAAATTCTCTATTCTCTTAATCTCTCATATTCAATCATCTTCATTCTTCATCTTCTCCAAATTCTTTCTACATATATATAATTTATATAATTATTATATCTACTTATATATTATAATATTAATTATCTACTTATAAATATATACTTATACACATTCATATTATAATTCTTTACGCATTATATTATATACTATATATTGTTATACATTATATTATATATTACTTATAATATATTTACACATTATATATTTATATATACTATATATAGTTATACATTATATTATATATTACTTATAATATATTTACACATTATATATTTATATATACTATATATAGTTATACATTTGATTTATATATACACTTCTCGTTTATCTATTTAATTACTTAATTGTTTCATTTGTCATATTAATATTAGTTAAAGTAGTTAAAGTTAATTGTTTCATTTGTCATATTAATATTAGTTAAACTACTTAATTGTTACATTTCTCATATTAGTTAATTAGTTAATTGCTACATTTTTACATTTCTCATATTAGTTAATTGCTACATTTGTACATTTCTCATATTAGTTAATTAGTTAATTGCTACAATTTTACATTTCTCATATTAGTTAATTGCTACATATCTCATTAAAGTAAAAAAAACTAGTTAATTTTTACATTTCTCATATTAGTTAATTAGTTAATTGCTACAATTTTACATTTCTCATATTAGTTAATTGCTACATTTTTACATTTCTCATATTAGTTAATTGCTACATTTTTACATTTCTCATATTAGTTAATTAGTTAATTGCTACAATTTTACATTTCTCATATTAGTTAATTGCTACATATCTCATTAAAGTAAAAAAACTAGTTAATTTTTACATTTCTCATATTAGTTAATTAGTTAATTGCTACAATTTTACATTTCTCATATTAGTTAATTGCTACATATCTCATTAAAGTAAAAAAAACTAGTTAATTTTTACATTTCTCATATTAGTTAATTAGTTAATTGCTACAATTTTACATTTCTCATATTAGTTAATTGCTACATATCTCATTAAAGTAAAAAAAACTAGTTAATTTTTACATTTCTCATATTAGTTAATTGCTACATATCTCATTAAAATAACAAAACTAGTTAATTTTTACATTTCTCATATTAGTTATTTGCTAATATTTGTTCAATTTTAAAGATGGAGCGTGGTAGACATTCTGTAGATGTGGGTAATCTCCAACGCAATCGCAAGAGGGAGATTGCATCGACTCGATCTACTTCACGCAAAGGCAAAGGTAAAGCGCGGGCCGAGTCTTCTTTTCAAAGTCGAGATGATTTTGAAACGGATTACCAACGGCGAGATGGTATGATGATGTCCGACGAGGAACTACAACACCTATTGTCCCAAAATGATCCACGTTTTGCACAAGAACAACAATTCCCGACAACCATCGATGAAGAGGAGCTCGAGGATGACGATGGGGAGGAGGACGCGGGGGGCGACGGGACTCCGGATGATGAGCAAGAGGACGAGGGCCCTTCAACGACTACAACCAAAATTGGTAAGAAATCTAAATCTGCTATTATTGAAAACAATTATACAAAAAGGAAAGACGAAAAAACCGAAAAATGGTACGCAAGTTGCAATCATTGCAAGAAAGAGTTTAGCTTGGGAATTTCTGGCGGATACGGGAGTCTCAAAAGGCATCTTCAGTCCGCCCACTTTGTGGAGTATGCGAAAATAGACAAAGGAAAGGGGAAGCAAACACAAATATCAAGGTTTGCAAATTCTCAACCCTTTGGTAATTTTTCCTATGATGATAAAAAACATTTGACTGGTATGTCTCATTTAATTGTTGAAGAAAATTTACCCTTTATTTTTTCCGAAAGTCTTGCTTTAAGAGATTATGCTCAAGGTACTTTAAATCCTCAATTTAGAAATTATAGTCGCAAAACGATTAAAAAAGAAGTTATAAGGCAATATAACTTGGAAAAAGAAAAATTACAAATATTTTTCGCAAACTTTGATGGACGTGTTAGTATTTTCCGCTTTTGGTTCTCTTTTGAAAAAAAGTAGAGCAACTCCCGCTACTGAACAAAGCTCAGGTAACGAGCTTTCTTTGTATCTAACATTGAATGTTGATTATGAAGTTGGTGATGACTTTGACGTTCTTAAGTGGTGGAAGGAAAATGAAATAACATTCCCGATTTTATCAAAGATGGCTAAGCAAGTACTAGCAATGCCGATATCAACCATTGCCGTGGAACAAGAATTCAGTGCGGCCGGCATCAACCGATATCAACGTCCTAACCGATTTTAGAACGAGGTTGAGCCCGAGCTCTCTTGAGACACTAGTTTGCTTTCACGATTGGTTGAAGGCCCAACGAAGAACTCAAGAAATTACCATCACTCCCTCCCGCCACTTTATGGAGGAAACAACCGAAGGCGGAGAGTCCGATTGATTTTTTATTACAAAATGTATTACATTTTTTAAATTCATCCTAATTCTCAATTGTACTTCTTATTTGAAATAAATATACTTCAATTCGAATATAATATATTGTAATTGTAATAAGATTTATTCTAATTATATAATAATTAAAAAAATTAAATAGGCCCGGCCCGGCCCGTGAACCGGACGGGTGACCCGAACCGAACCGGACCCGGGGTTATCCGGGCCGGTTCCAGGCCTGCCTTCCTAGAACCGAGGCCCGGCCGGGCCCAGGCCCGAACCGGGCCCGAACCGGCCCGAGTCCACTCCTATTTGTGCGTACCAGACTCTGAACCATCACACCCAGAAACCGTTTGAAATCATACCGTGACTTATTCCTCCACCATTCTGTCGGATCAGGGTGTGGGGACTGGGGTACCCGAGGTGGGCGATTCTACCTTTTGGATTGAAAGAAAACAAGGCTCAAGAACAAAGAGTGAAAAAAGATTGAATGGGGAAATGATGTGAAAAAATCTGTTTTTGAAATTTGAAAGTACATGAAAAGAAAATTAGGTACATGTGACTATGTGAGCTTAAGGATGTTTTTACTTGGACTGCAGACCAGATCAGACTAGACCAGACCAGTTCAGACCAGACCATACCAGATCAGATCAGCAAATTACAGTCTAAGTAAAAACATCCTAAATCAACTTTGTGTGTTTTTTAATTTATCCTAGCATCCTAGTTAATAAAGATTTAATATGAAAACAATCCATTATACTTTATACGTTGATAAGCAAAATAATATGATAAACCAATGGACACCAAACTGGGTCTTTAGTCTTTACCCCAAAACACTTAGCCTCTTGCTCTAATTATTAGAAGCTAAGTTCTAAATCCAAGAAAAATGTGACTCGTCTTATACATCCAAGTAACCCAGTTGCAGTAGATGTACATCTTAACATTATAATCGGGGAAATTTTGTACATTTTTATAATCTGCTGCAAACTCTAAGGTACAAATCACTCTTGGTGACAAACAGGGAAAAAAGGTAGAAGAAAGTGAAGCTCACCCTTCTTAAGCTTTCTTCTAGACTTCTAGTGAATGTGGCAAAACCAATCAGCCCTTGACTTCTACTCTGAAATCATCAGTCGAGGATACAACAAATGACAACGACTCTACTACCCTACCACTGCCTTGGGTTGAGTTTGCTCAAAGTCAAAAACCTCAAACATGAGGCGTCTCACATCTGGTTTCCCATACACAGCATATGACAGACCATGAATAGCTTGTTGAACAGAAGATGTGGCTGGATTTCTCAACCTGCGATTTTGCTCATATGCATCCTGCACTTGCTCACTGTATATGATAAAACGGTGCAGAAACTTTTCCCGTAAATACCTCCCACAGAACTTATTCATCAAGACACGCCGATGTCTCTCCATCAACCATCTCCCAGGGGCATCCAGATGCTTCATAAGCAACCTCTCTGCCATAACAAGATCCTGCATCCGAAGGAAAACCTTGTTAAAGAGCCTAGAGTGTATTTGGGTGACTTTTTTGTCAAGAACACGTTGTTATTACAGGATGAAAAGTAGGTTTGCTCCAAAAAGAAGTGTTTTGGGGAAGAAATTGTAAAAAAGTGCTTTTAAGAGAAACCCTTGCAAGATCCAGCATTAGGAGAAACACCCTAGTTATAGAATCTATAGTATTATTACCTTATTGTGTGACTTTTTTTCTCAAGGATAAGTTGTGATTGGAGGAAGAAAAGTAGTTTTGATACAAAATGAAGTATTTTTTGGCAAGAAAATGTAAAGAGGTGCTTTTAAAAGTAAAACACATACAAGATCTGTCTTCAGTACTAAAACCCTAGTTAAAGAATCTAGAGAGTGTTTGAGTGACTTTTTTCTTTGCAAGCACAAGTTAATAGAGACAAGTAGTTTTGCTTAAAAAAGAAGCATTATGGCAAGAAAATGTAATTAAAAAAAGCTTTAGAGTAAAAAAACACTTGCAAGATCCTGCATTAGGAGAAAACCCCAAGTTTTAGAATCTAGTGTGTGTTCGGGTGACTTCCTTTTCAAGAAGACTTTGTTATTAAAGGAAGGGTAGTAGTTTTGCTTAAAAGGGAAGTATTTTTGCAAGAAAATGTAAAAAAGAGCTTTTATTAGTAAAAACTACTTTTGATTCTCATTTCAGAAAAAGAAAAAGATCAGTGCTCTTATTCTTTTTAAAAAAGAAGTATAAGTGCTTAAATGAGAAATTAATTACGGAGTATGAATTATGATAAAAGCACTTACGCAATAATGCATTCCCAAAGAGGTTCATAGCAACTATGCTTCTAAAATATTACATACACCTCACATAAAGTAAAAGCTGAGAGTAGCTAAGCACAAATATAAGTTAAAAAGAAACTGAAAAAGAAAAAGAATTTATTTTTCCACTCAAGAGCAGGAGGGGTACAAAATAAGTACCTGGATTTTCTGACCGAGATATTCCAGTCGCTCAAAGCAAAAGCGTGGATGTTCAAACTTGTACTTTGAGGGGTGCAAGAATGAAAGCTGTATTTTACATCCAAAATTAGGTAACTTGAATGGGTCATGATAAGCATAAAAGCATGAAAGCAAAAGAATTGATACCTGCAAACCAAGTCCAAGTTCTATGTTTCTGGCCTCAGTTATCTCTGGTATTTTATCTGCCATTGCCAATGGATAACCAAGTTTTTGCATGACTTGAGGTCTACAATCATAATCCCATATGTTTCCACGAAACCGATGCATGCCAGGTGGAACACATGCCCTGAATAGCCTTGGGTGATGAAAAAGTGCATCTTCTGGAGGCTGTTTGAAACACAGAGGACCAGCATTCATTTTTCAGAGTGCAAATAAAAAGGTTTAATGCTTCTTTCATACTCAAATTCTAATAAATAATTCTAACTACAAATAATGTATAGTTATAAACGGTGCATTCAAAAAAAGCTCTAACCTTGTATGTAGCAACATCTTGCCAGCTCAGCTTGTTACCTTCGAATTCTAGAGAGGCATAATCCACATCCTCGAGTTGTCTCCTGAGTCTAGGTTGGCAGTCTTCAGCCTCAGGATCTAATCCAAACACTTCAAACAGAACTCGATACACTTCTGGCAGGCCAAAACACAAATAAATTGCCCCAAACAATGCCCAGAATACTGATCTGCCATGATGCCATTAGAGCAAAAGTTACTGCTAGGGTTGATTCAATAATCAGCATATACCAGTATGGCATGCAGTATAGTAGCATATTATACCAAAAGAAAATATTTCTTGTTACAGGTTGCTGTCAGATTCCACATATAATGTTAACCAAACTCTTCATCAATGGACTGTTTGTTTCCCTGGTTGAGATGCCCCATATAAATTAACATGAAACTCTGGCTATCAGAAACCAACACACAAGACTAAGAAAAGCCTAGAAAGACCACTTAATATATCGGACTGCCATTGTCACTATTCTTCAACAGACCTTAAAAAGGAACTATGTACATCTTTCATGGATGCACAAAACTCCAACAGTTCCGCTCCTTAAACCAGGAATATGATTGATTGTTGTTTTCTTTAGTGGGAACAGACATAATAGAAAGCGAAGTAATGAAATCAAATGCATGTGCAGTGTATATGTAGTATGTACACAAAATATATCCCCTTTTCCAACAGATCTCTTTATATTTTCCTTTATCAGCCATTCTAAAACATTTTTCTTGTTTCTCCTATGGGAAAATAGTGTAAATGATATTGTTTCTCCCTTTTCCAGATAAACCATAACGACATGATTTCACTTCCTTAAAATTTTAAAACAAAGGGAGTAGTTGATTACTTTACATAGCGTTTTACCAAACATGGACTCATAACATTCAACTTGTGGAGTTAGCGTAGGTACAACTAAAATGAAACATCAGTGGTATAAAAAGGCACTAGCATTCATTCATGAACCCTAAATGATAGAAAGAAAGCTCACTTGATAGGAGGTTCTCGCTCTAATCGCTTCAATGTATTCATATCATCATAAGGAAAAACCAAATTTTGCAAACTGGCAGCTTTTATCCACTTTGGTAGAAACCTCTTCCCAATCAATGCATACACTCTCTCCCTTATCGGCCCAGGCGGCTCCCTTGGATACTTCTGCAAGAAGAACTCACAGAAGGCTAATTCAAGTACATATCCGCCCAAGAACGCTAACCTCGAGTGCCCGTGCTTCACATGCCTTGCATCATTCTTCTCACAGAATGGATGCTGAAAAGCTAAATATAACAGTGTATCGAACTGCTTGGCCGGGTTATCATCCCCGAAGTTATAGGATGGCTCCAGAGGATATCCCAGGGCCTGTTTGGCCTCCAGCAAGTGTTCATCTATCCAAGCTTTATCTTGATTATTAAGCCTAGAAGAGGGCAGGCACGAACTCAATAAAGGGAACGACTTTAGGGATAATTGCGGGCTATTCAGAAACCTTTCCGCTAACTTTGCATCATCTAGCGGAGGCTTGAGTATAAACCGTCTCTCCGGCGCCTTTCTCTTGGGGGAAGTTACTTTTCTGCGCTCCGCTAGCTCTTTGAGGAGTCTCTGAGGACTGTTTGCCGGGAGTTCTTTGGAATCTACCGCTACAGCCGAAATTCTAAAACTTGGAGAAATGGGTATTGAACTTCTAGAAATCTTAAGGTGGATTTGGAGATGGAAAGGAGACAGTGAGGAAGAGGAGAGTTCAGATGATTGATGGACATTCAAGTAGGGTCTGAAGCTAGAAGAGAGTAGTTCCATAGTCATGGTGTCATGGAGGGATAGTATATGGAATGCGAATATTAGGTACTAACGAGAGATGACATTGGGATTATGGTGGGGTTGGTTTGGTGTGGTTTTTTCAATGAGGAGGTTTTTGCAGGGCTTGTTAGATTGAAGCTCGAAATGCAACTCATGAACTTAGCTGAAACAGATGACCATGATTTTCTTTAAAAGAAGATTTTTGCTTCTTAATTCGTCAATCGATTATTTGTATTTTTCTTTTTTTGTGAAAATTACCTGTATAGTCCACTTTTGTGTGACGTATATCATTTATGACTCAATCGCTACTTTTCATTTTTAAACCTTTATCTTTTCAATTTTGGTTTTCTTATTTCACTTTTAGTCATTTTTGACTTCATAAGATGCATGGGAGCTTCGGTGAAAAAATATGGGAGAGCCGATGGCGAGATCAGATCATGACTTTCAACTCTCTTATCAAGCAAGGGGCTCCTATGGTCTGGATTGGGCAAGGATGATGGAGCTGTGTCGGATTCATCGTCCCAGCGTTGTTAGGCAGGCGGACCATTGATCCATTGGTCATCCAAGAGTCCTTCCGCCGATGGGGGAAGAGGATTCAGTGAGCAATATCCTTGATTCGTAGATATATGAGCCGATCTCCTGCTAAATCATCATACCGATATGGCCGCAATGATCGCGACAGTTTGTAGTGTTAATAATCATGAATTTAGTCATCTAGAACCTTTTTGTTAAGAGGTTATTTGACTAAAATGATTGAATTTTCATAAGTTTCCTAAAGGAAAATCGTTTGCTAAAGTAGATTTTAGTCAAATAATCTAGTCAAATGCCTACTTATGATGAACTTATATTGTGTTGGTTTAATTTATTTTGGTTGTTCATGTGTTGGTTTCTATTGTACCAAACCGAACAAATTTAAGTATTTAACCATAGGAGTTCACCTGCATCGCTGCATCGGGTTGAGCAACTATAAACTCTAGTGAACATTGTTGCATCTCTGCTTCTTCTGAGGGTTAGGAAAATTGAAGATAAACTCCACTACTAGATTGAGCGAGTTAACCTTCCAATTTTCTTCATTATTCTCCTGAAGCATTCCTAATCCTTGAATTTGGATATTTTTGGCTTTTAGCTATACAAGTATATAACATAAATTTTATTAAACGCAGTCACCGTTTCTTACTCTATAAGTTTTCTAATATTGTAACTCAAAGCCAAAAGCTACATATTCATTCACATATAGCCATCTATATATACAAAGGAAGGGGAGTTATGGTTACATTTGATATGGGCCAATACATACGGGTTTGAGGATTAATAGACATCCACATAATTACATAACACTTCCCCTTGGATGTACATTATTAAATAAAAATATTACAAAAAAATGTACATTATTTTCTTTGTACGTGTTGATGATGATGCCTCGTTAAGAACCTTGATGAGGAAAACTCGGTGGGACAAAACCTTGGTCAAGGGAAAAAGAGTGCAACGTGCATATACTACCCTTGTTGACTGCATCACTTCAGGACGTCTTGTAGAATCCAATATAATCTAGTTACCAACCACTTGAAGCAAAAATTGTACTATGTATATGCCTCATTAAAAATCTCGTTGGAAAAACTCTTTGAAAAAAAAACAATCAAGGAAAAGAGTGCATAATATATGTAAAACGATGTGTTGTAATGACTGTCTCATTAAAAACCTTTAACTAAGAAAACCATGTGGAAAAAACTTAGTAAATGAAAAGAGTACAGTCATTGACCTTCGGGACCTAATCTTCTTGATCACATTTGAATTCACTCTTCTACCGAAAATAATATTCCAAGAATCACAATATGTTGTTTTAGAATCACAAACTGCCTCGTTAAAACCTTTGACCAAGAAAACTCTATGGGATAAAACTTGGTTAAGGAAAAAGAGTACAGTTGCATTTGGTCTTCCGGACCAATCAGTTGTTTGACCTTACAAGAACCAATTAAGACCTTTAGGGCACTGTCTTCTAAACTAATATTAAAATCACTCTTTTAGAGGATAATAGTCTTCTGAATGTTATGTATCTTTCTCATTCTTTAAAACCAACAAAATACCTTGTTAAAACCTTTGGCCAAGAAAACCCTTTGGGACAAAAACTTGGCTAAGGAAAAGAATAGCACATGGTCTTCTCGACCAATTAATTGTTTCATTTCAACAACTCAATATGTTTAGGTAAAAATATACTATAAAATCCACATAGTTTGAGCTCATGAAAATCTTTAGTATATAAACCTCCATCATTATTTATACAGATTTGATGGACATTAGTCACCAAACTCTTCAAAAGTTTCTAAGCGGAAGCAATTGTATAATTTCATGATTATGCAATGTATATTTCAAGACCATCAAGTTTATTGTCATTATGCACATCACATATTCAATATTAAGTACTCTCAAATATTGGTCCATAAAATTTAAATGGGACAAGTTTTGATCCTCGTAGGATCTCAAATTAATATACAAACACTTCAAGGTGTTCACAATGTAATGACTAGATATTTATTTATTATATAATCAAACATCATTCAAATCAAAAGATTCTCATGTGTTGTTTCTAGGTTTGGTTAGATGCTTGAAAGCCTCCAACACTTTTATTTATACAATTTGGTTCATTGAATAATATGTTTACTTCAGGTAAACAAATAGAAGGTTTATGAGTAATTGCAAATTCGTTGAATAATGTTTTTCTCATTCAACTCTTTCTGGAGGAAAGGTTGAGAAGTAGTATGAATATAGTTCACTTTAAATTAGTTTAAATTCTAGGCATTGAATCATGTGAAAACACATAAGAAAATTGTTCACATTAGATCCTCTACAAGAGGCACTCACTACAAGTGATATCTTCTACAAAATAAATCACGTCATCAAGACTTTATTATAATCACCCGGGTTGTAGTTAGGCACGAACACCTTTTTCTATATTTCCGACTATGCTTACAATTTACTGCATTTTCAATTATTGCAGTTATTCAATCAATTCCAAATTCTTTTTCAAAAATAATTCCAAATAAAATAACGATAAGTCTATAATTAAACGCATAGTGTTTGTATCTAATTATTATAGGTATAAAAGAACTCATATTCATGTTGCATGTTGTGTGCACATGTTTCTTTTTACCATTGTCCTTTGGGGACACACAATTGATATTATAACTATAACACCGCCCCCAAGTATTTGTACTTTATCAAATTGTGTATTGAACCCTAAGAAATGAATAAGAGCATTTTTACGTGATTGTAAATTTTTATCATTTCTTTTACGTGAATAGTAAAATTCACGTGGGGCCCACACTGGAAGTGGGGCCCGCCTGATATTATCGGGACCACATATTATATTAATCTTGGCCTAGATAATATATATATGGTGGTGGATATCCTAATTGGGTCATGTCAATGGCATAGGGTTGACCGGTTGGTCAAACGAGGTCCGATTATCAGTATCAGTAATTTATTAGATAACAGCCCGAATTGAATTTTGAAGACCTTTTAAATTAAAGTTGGGGAACGTATATTAATTCTAGCGTCCAATGAGGATCTATAACCTGTGTTATATTTTATTTGGCCCGATAAAATGAAATATAATTAAAACAGTCCAGAAAATACAACTTTCGAGACCGATTGTACACTCCGGGACACAAAGGGTTGACCTCCCACATAAGTGGGGGCCAACCCACGTTTTTAGCTCTGCAAGGAGGGCAAGGGAGCCGTACAACCTTGTGGGAAATGAGCAAGAAGTGACTGAAGGCCAAACCAATAAATGGAATGGACCCTCCCCATGTTATCCTTGTGAGAAATGCCAAAAAGGCATTCTCAATCAACCATACACCCCCAGCTCGGCCCATCCCTCAAGTAAGGTGAGAGAAACTATGTAATACTCCATCTTTGCCATCCATATCCGCATAAAGCAAGGAGAGGAAGAAGGAAGGGAAGAAAGAAGAGAAAGGAGGAAGTTAGGGAGGAAAACTTGAGATTAACAAGGTAATGACCCCGTTAATCATATTTCGTTTTCTTTAATCTTTCCATATGATTATACAATCATATTTCACACCCTAGGATTGTTCTACACGTTTGGAAGTGTAGAATGAGGCGTTGGAAGGTAGTTATGTAACACCGACCCCGAGCATATTTACTTTTAGTAAATGATGTAATAAACCTTGAAAGATGATTTATGAATTTGCGTAATTGTTAATTTTTACTATTTCTTTTACGTGAATAGTAAATTGCATGTGGGGCCCACAGCGGGACGGGGACCGCCCGATAATTCCCGAACCACATATTATATTCATCTTGGCCTAGATAATATGTATATGGTGGTGGATATTTTATTTGGGCCATAAGAAAGGCATGGAGTTGACCGGTTGGTCAAACGGGGCCCAATTACCGGTATTGGTAATTTAACGGATAACAACCCGAAATGAGTTTCGGAGACTCCTAAATTAATGTTGGGAAATGTACATCTATTCTAAAGGCCCATAATTATTAGGAACGCGTGATATATTTTTTTTGGCCCGATAAAATAAAATATAATCAAAACGGACCGAGAAATACAACTTTCGGGACCAATTGTACACATCGAGACATAACGGGATGACCTCCCACCTAAGTGGGGGCCACCCCACGTCCCTTTAGACTCCAGCAGACAAGGGAGGAGTTGGAGGAGACCATGGAAAGTGTGTGTGTGTGTGTGTGCGGAGTCATTAAGTGAGGGGATGGCATGAGTCAAAATTGCCATTTTAGGACCCTACTCATGCATTATTTTGCTTGATTGAGTAGAGGTGCCTCCCCCCTTCCCATTCCACTCATTCAGCCAACACAAGGGGAGAGAGAAGGGCTCCAGGAAGCTATCTCAGCAGGCCATAGTTGGAGGAAGCTAGGAGGAAGAAATCCTAGGAGGAAACTAGCTAAGAAGAAGGTAAGAACTCATCTACCCCCTTTTAACTAGTTTTATGGTGTATGATTTTTAAGAAATCATATGGTGGATTAAACATGATGTTCTACACGTTTAAAAGTGTAGAATATTGATATAAAGTGGTGATATTTAACTTAGAAGAGTTGGTGAATCGATAGGAGTCGAAATCGCCGGAAACCGCCACTTTAAGGGAGCTGCCCGTTTCTGCAGAACACGAAAGCCGCCCGGTTTTTGCCCAGCAGTTCAGTTTTACACCTTCAATCGGCCTAGAACGGGGA